CAGATATTTGGACTGAAGACGGGTCAAAGCTCAGTATAGAGCGGCTGTGTGTTCTGCAGTGTGTGAACCAGCAGATGGTCAACTCACACACACAAGCAGAAGAGACGCGCCTGACATGAGTATTAGAGCAGGATCAGTGTGTGTGTGTGTGTGTGTGTGTGTGTGTGTGTGTGTGTGTGTGTGTGTGCGCGTGTTTGTGTGTGTGCGTGTGTGTGTTTGTGTGTGTGCGTGTGTGTGTGTGTGTGTGAGGCAGATGTGGCGCAGCAGATTTCCTGCCGTTTGCTCTCAGTAATCCTCATCTGTTGGGCACGTGCCGTGTGTCGGCGGAGGATGAGAGCGTGCAGAATGGCCTTGTGCATCATCATCATCATCATCATCATCATGTTCAGTTCACCTGCGCTTCAGCTTCATCAGTCTGCTGGATTCCTCGTCTCCATCATGCAGGATTAGTGTTGATTCTCAGCCTGGTGAATGTTGATGAGCACATCTACTGTACACTGGTTAATCACACACTGCCCTCCTCTGTCTACACGTCCAGTGTTTTCTCAGTCTGCAGGGTTCATTAGGTGATGTTGGGTTTACAGCTCTGCTTTAGTGCAGCACAGGCTCGGTCTGAAAGCGTACCGCTGTCTACATGTCTGGAGATGGTGAATGATGAGGTGAGCATGGCGGCATTTAGTCTGTGCGAACGCTACGGGGGGGTGATGCTGCTCTTCATGCTCATCAGCGGACATTTAGCTCCTTATGGACGGATTCCTCACTGCTAGCAGTGTGTGCACTCAGCTGTCCTGTACACCGGTGGACATCGTGCACACAGAGAGTCTAGTGAGGGACAGACAAGACAATTAATAAGCAGGTAAATAAGAGCGTGAGAGTGGGGAATGTCCAGTGTTTGTCCTGTACACTGCTGAACTGACATGAGGAAACGGTGAGGCTCACGGTGAGGCCGTCTCCACACTGATCTCTGATCAGTCCACTGTGTGTGGATATGGGCAGAGTTGCTGTGATGTGTTGATTCAGATCAGTATCCTTCATGACTCTCAGGTCAGCATGTGCTCGTGCGTCTCGAACTCTTCTCCTGCTGGTCTGCATGGTGAGCTCGTGCTCTGCTAGTTCGCGCTCCTCCACCGGTGCTGACGGGCAGGACTGATGAAGGAAGCAGATCGTGTTCACGGCTCTTCCTCTATTTGTGTCAAACACAGCGGAGTCGCGTCTGCTTTCTGCCGGTGTCAGCGAAACCGCCAGCAGCGCTTCCTTCCTGCTGAGGGGACAGACAGAAGTGTGGACGCGCGGATCAGGACGCCGTCAGCTGAACACAACACACCGCTCTACACCTCTGCTCATCACTCTCCATCTGTCCATCATCCACTACTGATCTGTCCATTATACCACACACACATCCATCCCTCAGCTTTCATCCATTCATGCAGCTGTCTTTCACTTCATCTGTTCATCATTTCATCCACCCGTCCTTCACTTTCAGTCATCCATCCCTCCGTTATTTTATCCATCTGTCCATCCCATCACTCATTCCTCATTTCATTCATACATACATCCATCCATCAACTTACCCATCTCTCACCATCCATCCACCCACCCATTAATTCATCCATCCATCCATCCACCCACCCATTCATCCATCCATCCATCCATCCACCCATTAATTCATCCATCCATCCATCCCACCCACCCATTAATTCATCCATCCATCCATCCACCCACCCATCTATTAATTCATCCATCCATCCATCCACCCACCCATTAATTCATCCATCCATCCACCCATTAATTCATCCATCCATCCAT